ATTATTATTATTATTATTATTATTATTATTATTATTATTATTATTATTATTATTATTATTATTATTATTATTATTATTATTATTATTATTATTATTATTATTATTATTATTATTATTATTATTATTATTATTATTATTATTATTATTATTATTATTATTATTATTATTATTATTATTATTATTATTATTATTATTATTATTATTATTATTATTATTATTATTATTATTATTATTATTATTATTATTATTATTATTATATTATTATTATTATTATTATTATTATTATTATTATCATTATTATTAATTATTATTATTAATTATTGTTATTATTAATTATTATTATCATTATATTATTATCATCATTAGCATTTTTATATTATTAAATCTAGTGTGAAATCGATTTAAATGTAACAAACGCTTTTCCTGTTGTACTCGTCACAGTGTATTAGTTATGTAATGATAATGAACTGATAAAAAACTAACACAATTCATTCAGAAACTCTTATTATGTATATGTATTTAAAAGCAGCATTACCTTTTCAAAGTCTCCAACAGATCCACAACCAGAGCCACTACAATCTATTAATTCCTGAGCCGAAAGTTTCCGTAATTTTTTCGTTTGTAATTTAGATAATGCTGCCATAACATCTGATACTGTATCAGCTGTAGTAGCCGGCATACGACATACCTTTGAATATTATTTCCATCAATATCCAAGTAAAAATTTGAAAATATTACAGTTGTGTGTTAAAATTACTGACATATATAGGGAAAGAATTCTGGAAAATTCTAGAATCTTCAATATCTTTCCCATACATTTGATCTTTTTCCGCAAAATTTTAATTGGAATTTCCTTTGTTTTATTTTTTGCTTGTTAAATAAATACCAAAATTTGCTCATTTCTTCTAATTTTCAAACTTTTACCTTAAAAAGAATTGAGGAGGAGAAAATGAAAGCCCTTAAAATGCTAATTATCATAATTATCTTGATAGCATCATTTCATTGTTATTGAATTTTTCTTTCCTTTCCTTTTTTTTAAATTGCTAACATTAACTTTCAATGCATTAATATTAGCAAAAAAGATTAATTGATTGGAAAATGATATGAAATGAATGAATTACTCGATTATCTTTGAAATTTTCAACTGGCGTGACAAATCCTCTAGTTACCCAATTAATATCTTTCACTGGTTGGGCCGTTAAATTTTCCGGAACGGGATCACCAGTACCATTAAATTTTATCGCCGGAAATTCGTCAATCAAATCCTCTGGCGTCTATAATTAATTAATTAATTAGTTGAATTATTTCTGTTTGTAGCTTAAAATTTTATTTATTCCACTTGTAATTATAATCATTCCTTATTTTTCGTATATACAATGGGAAAAGCATTGAAAATTTCATTTTACCATGTCGCTCATTATAGTTAGACCAAGCATAAATGATGATTTGCCTTGTTTATACAATTCATTATGTCTTTTAATTTCTTCCATATTTTTAGCAAATGCCAATAAACGATGTGGTTCCGGTCGATCATCTTTAACACCTTTTTCTATAATAACAACAAAAAATTATTCATTTTAAATTTTTTAAATAAATTTAAAATATCATAAAATTTTGTTAGGAATACTGCTTACAGTATTTTAATGATGTAAACAATATTTAATTAAACTGAAATGCGAAATATTGTGTGAAATTAAGGCCAAAAAATTCGATTTTATTTGGAAAAATTAAATTTCAATGAGTTGCTTCGCAACAGCTAAAAACATATAATATTACTTAAGCATTCCAAAAAAAAGTATTTATTAAAATTCCTACTTTTAGCAATGATTTTCCAAGTTAATAAATCCGAAAATTACAAGTAAAATGAGCAAAATTAGTAGTGAAAAGGTAGCATAAATAACAAATATTAAAAGAAAAAATTGTCAGTGAAGTTTTTAATTACTTACTATATTCTGTTGCAAATTTTACATAACTGTCGTAATGTTTTGAGTATAATTCACGTAACTTTGAGTGACTTAATGTTTTGAATTGCCTGTAAAATTATGGTTTCGTTAAAAAATTTCAATTTAACAAGTCCGAAAAATTAAAATTTCTGAATTTTTATTAAAAACGATTGAAAAGATTGTTTTCTTCATTGGGCATCTTCGCATAATAAATTACGCACAATAGTATTTTAATGGTGCATTATTTTGAAAAAACTTTTGAGATCAAATTTATTTCATTTTTTCAAATTTGAATTAATTGTCAATTTAACTATTTAAAAAAATACATACTGATGAAGTAAGCTGTTACAGTTTAGGATGAAATTCTGTGTAACTAAAAGGGGTAGAAGAGCCTTTAATAATAGCGTCATCTGGCGGTAATTTCCCATTGTATAATATACAGAACTGAAAATGTCACCCGAAATTGTCATTTTATGATGATTTTTGATTGAAAACAATTCTTATTTTTGACATTGTTTCAATGATAGATAAGGTAATTTTTGATCATCCAAACTTTCTTATCACTTAATTTACGATCCAAATGTTTGCCATTTCTCGTAAAGCAAAATCGATTTGTATTTCCTCACATTTTTATAGCTTTTTTTTGTTTTTTATATATTTAAAGGATCAGAAATCATCACAAAAATTTCAACATTCCGAAACGATAAATGAAAAGAGAATTGATTCGATTCTTTTTTCTCGTACTCACAATTATAACAATGAATTCAATTTTTAATTAATAAAAGTAAAAGTTAAAATAGTCAAAATTTTATTCAACAATCATTTGCATTTCGAAAATTCTGCAACAAAGAATCCTGTATGAAAAACTAAATTCGAATATCTTGAATTTCAATATTTTATATAATTTCATTCAGTTTCAAGGGAAGTTCTTCCTTTTTCTTATTTGGATATTCATTAATCCATTCCAGTCGTATCACTTCTTTTTACTAATTATTATTCAAATATTACCAATGTTTCAACTATTGAACTGATTTAAAAATTGCTCATTACTCATAGATTTTAATAATATTAAATATATAAATATTAGTAACATTAAGTAATACAAAAAGAATATCAGTAACATTAAAAATATCATTCATAAGAAATAAAAATATCATTTCAGAAAAATATCACTCAAATTGCCAATAAGAATTTTTTACTGATAGTATTTTATCGATTATTGGTAATAATTAGTGATTTGAATTTGATTTATTGATGTGATAATAATTTATTGTTTTTATTGATAATTTTTACCGGTAATAAGGATTTTTTTACAAGTTTTCCTAGAATAAGGAAAATATTTCTAGCACTACAAAATTTCAAAATTGTGGTTAATATCTTTGTCACTTATCAAAAAATCACAGCATACCACAAATATGAGTGAAAATTGTATAACAAAAGTTGTAAACAATTTGAAGTGTATTATGCCAAAGATTAAAACATATCACTGATAAGAAAATTGAGTGAAGTTATGATATGAATATGTCCAAAGCAATTCTTAGCATCAAAGATCGGCAATAGATAATTATAGCTAAATTGTTTTCGTCATAAATTTTGTTATAAATGCAGCACCAAGCAATAATTTTTCTTAGTAGAAGCCCAAAAAAAAAAAAAAATTTTGTCGACCAATAATTAATTCAATGAAAACATTCTTTATTTTTTACCTGGCCAGATTTCTTTTGCTTATTTATGCAAATCCACTTAATGAATTGTAAGTTATATTTTATTTTATTTTGAAAACATAATGAAATTTGAAAAGATCTAAGATTACAAATACAATTTGGCATAAAAAACAAAATGTTGAAAGGTAATGATTATGCCGCCGTTTAGCTCTGATTGTTTTTATTGAATTAAAAAATTATAATTATTTGTTATTTCTCATTTTCCAACAATCTAAAAATATGCAAATTCAAAATTCGATTTTTTCCTTTTTTTCTTTCATTCCTTTCATTCGTTTTAACAAATTCAAATATTTAAAATTTTTATTGCAGGGATAATGATGATACACCAGGTAAAGTTCACACTTTATATCAGCAACATTATTCAAAATACAAACGATACCTGAAGGAATTTGGTAAGTTAACTAATTTTCTTTTCTTTTTAGTTATTTCACTTTTTGCACTCAAAAACAAAAAAAAAACATAAGATTTTTAATTTTTTTTACAGGAAAAAACTTCAAGTTTTCAATTATTTTGAATAAAACTGAAATTTTTGTATTACTCATGACTTCTCATTCATCCTGTAATCCGTTACAGGTAAACAACATGATTCAGCTGTTCCGGAACCAATTCGGTTACTTAAATTTGCTCAATCCATAAAAATGATTGATGAACACAATCAACGTTACAGTAAAGGATTGGTAAAGTACGAACTTGGTCTGAATGAAATGAGCGATTGGGTTTGTAATTTTTTAATGATAAGAAAAAATTAGAACTGAAAAACTTAAATTTAACCATGTAACAACAATCATTATTATACATTACTTTGATTGTTGTTGTTTTTTTTCCTCCGTTATAATTTTAATTTTTTCCGTTTTCTTTTTCAATTTAATTTAATTAAATTGTTTTTCTTTTCTTATAGACAGAAGAAGAGAAAAAAAAGCTTCATGGATATTATCCAAATATGACTGCAAAAGTGGCGACAAATTTAACTGAAATAATCGGGAAGGAACTATCCAGAAGAATTCCAAGTTCGATTGATTATAGAAGAAAAATAACTCGTATACCGGTAGTAAACCAAGTAAATGAAATTTCAATAATTCCAATTTGAATCAATTTCATTTCCTTTCTATTTTGCACATTCTTATTGCTTTTGTTTTTCTATTTTTTTTTTTTGTTTTTTGCTTATGCATGAAATAATATTTTATATATAAATATATATATATACATATATGAATTGAAATTTTTGTGGTCACTACTAAATATGTTTCTATTTTTAGGGTCGCTGTCAAGTATGTTTATTTTCTCGGCATTATCAACGCTCGAAATGTATATTACTCTTAGAATAAAAAGCGAGCTCCAAGACTATCAGTACAGCAGGTAATGGATTGTAGTGGAATGGAAAAATGTGATGGCAAAGGCGGAAATGACGTCCAGGTATATGAAAATTGTATTATTAATTTCTTAATTATTATCTATAATGAATGATTAATGCTGAAATAAGTAATGAAAATGATTTTCAGGTTTTGAATTGGGTTGCTGAGAATGGTGTTACAACCGATAAATATTATCCATATAAA